GCCACTCAATTAGACTGAGAATAACTCTTGGCTCTTTGCCCAATTCAGGCCCGAGGTAGGAAGCAACATTTAGGCTCCGAAGGAGCTGCTGGCCAAAGGCTAATCCCAATGGAGCTTGTGGACATGGGTCACCCTTCTGTGCTGGAGAAGGGATCCGGAGGAGCGGGAAAGCGCCTCCCTCATCCTCGGCACCATCCTGCCTCCAACGGGAGGGAAGCAGAGGCCAAATGGCTTGAAAGGCAAATGAGGCACCTGGGAAACATTTTTACGTGTGGATATAGAGCAAATTGAGACATGCCCCAGAAAGGGCTGGTATTGCTCCCAGCTCTCTGTACATCCCCTCCTTGCTCTCAGGGCAGAGCAGTTGAGACTGTGCAAAACTTCCTGTGCATTGCAGTCTGACAGCAACACAAATTATTTCTGCAGAGATATCCATCTCCCTGCCCAGATCATAGCAAAATTTGGAGAGGATTTGCTTTAGGAAGTGGCTAGTTCAGCAAGCTATAAGCAACATGACCCAGGAGCCAGGGAAAACTCAGCCAGGAGCTAACTATGAAGCTGAGAGCTTTGCAAAAATAAATAAATAAGAGAATAAAAGAAAAGGGAAATGCTAGAGGTGCAGGTGAATCAGGTACCAAGGCAAAGCAAACATTTGAAATCACACCTTGAAAAATTAAACACAAGACACGCTTGGTTTCATTAACGGCAATTTAGGCGATGGAGCTGCGCCAGAGGAGCTGAAGTGTTGCCGATTAAACATACTCAGCAAGAGCTGCCAAAGGAAACATCTTTTAAATAAGCACAAATTCCTCCTGGGGTGGGGAGTAACACACCTTTTTTACTGCAACCTGGTAGAACAGTCAACTGTAACGTTTGCAGCCCTGGAGTGTATCCTGCCATTGGCCTTTCCTCCCCGCGATCTCCCAGGAAATCTGTAGGGCTAAAAATAGACAGAGTGCCCCTTTGCAGCGGAGGAAAGGAAAGATGAGCAAAGGAAAGGGAACAATCTGGTCGCCAGGGAGATTTTCCTTGCAAGTCGAGAAGATGAAACATGAGCCCTACCTGGGGCCTCCTCCCTCCTCATGGGATCTCCACGGCTCCAGCCACCATCTGCCAGACACCCGTTGGGTTAAAACACCCGGATTGAGCACTGCCCTGTGAGCTTTGCTGAAGGGCAACACGCTGTTTTAGGCGGAATCGGCCGCTAGTCTCTCTGTGAGACACCCCTGAAGTGTCACCTGCCTCCTGAAGGCACCAGGGCTAAATTCGGCGGTGGCCACGGCGAGCGGGGCCACGGGCCGGGAAGCTCCTGCGCACGGAAGCTAGCGTGCCTCTTGGCAGGGTCTGTGCCTGGGGGGTTATTCATGTCAGGACGGTTCAAAAATGAGGCAAGAGCGTCTGGAGCATTAAGAACAATTTACACAGGAGAAAAACAAGGCAGTGCAGGACTGGAATGACAGCTTTGGCCGCATGAGCTTCCTCAGTGAAAACCATTTCGTTTTGGGCCAGTGTGTGCTGGCAAGCCAGCACAAAGCAAGCAAAGCCCTGCAAGGCCAGCTGGGCCAAGGTGACAAACCCCCATAGAAGCAGGACTCAGCCTGCCAAGACGAATGGTTTTCCTGTCCAAAACTGTTTTACTTTTTCCCTGGTAAAATTCTTTTTGCAAGCAGGGCAAGAAGGTTGGGGTGCGAGCTGACAGCTTACCATAAGGAACAGAAATGAGAAGAGGAAAGCAAAGCTATTCCACTCTCTTTGATTAAGGGCTACCTGGAGGGTGAGACGTATAACTGACCCAACTCCAGGCAAAGACAGAAAGCACCAAAACGGACAAGCAGAAAATGAGTTGAACAGCCCCAGTGCCTCTTAAAAAGCAGTTCTGTCTTGCTGCATATATAGGGCAATACTCACAGCTCGATAAACTAATGCGTTCAGACAGCCTTGGCCAACTCGGCCTATAGCCTTGTGATTTTATATGCTGAGGAACAGCTCAGCTCAGGCAAACTCAGGCTGGAGAAATGTAGTGATACAGAGTGGATGCACCTGGTGCCCGGGACCAGGCCGGCCACTCGCGGCATCAGGCAGGCGCAGGCCTTGAGCGAGGCCGCTCTGCAGGTCTGGCTTAGACACTGCTTGGGAATCTTGCCTAGATTTACTAGTCAATAAATACATTTTTTTCCCATGTCTATTCATCTTCTCTGTTTGGCATTTCACAGGTAGTTTCCAAGCTCCCGGAAGGGCAGATCCTGACTTTTACATCTTGGCATTAAGAGCAACTTAATTTTTATTGGTTTCTCTAAAGAGTAACGTGCACTTTAGAAAGCAAATGACCAATTTTACGGTGACGCATAGAGCAGCGGCGTGCAGGGCTGTGCAGCGGCACGTGGCTCCCTGAGCGCCGCAAGGGCAGCTGCACATTAGCAGCTGATGGGATTTGTCCTCCTGAAGCTATTAGACTTGCTGTATAAATAGGGCAATACTTTCTCCGGCTGCGGTTAGTAGAACCATAAGGGTTTTCTTGGGTTTCTATACATTGCTGATGCTTTGCTTGTGTGTATTCCTGAGAGAGGTAGAGCTGGTTGCTGAAGGACATTTCCTTTTTTTCCAGCAGGCTGGGGCTCTGGGTGAGGACTCTGCTCTGAACTATCTTGAGATCTAAAATTCAGAAAATTTGGTGCAGTTGGGAATCTAATCCCTAGAGGGAACAGACTCAGTTCCAGGCTATTTAAAGCTCAGACAGACATCAAGACATTGATAGCCTTGAGAAATGACTAGCTTTTGCCATCAAAAGCTCAAGGCAAACAGAACTTTTGCAAGCATGAAGCACAGATTGTGCAGAAGCGGTTCGGGTTTCTCAACAGTTAATGTTGTATTAGTCCATTTATAAATACACTGTATGAGAATGAGGAGGCTTAGAGATAACGGATTAGTATTTCTAATCTTCTTTTGGTGACAAAAATCAAGTTAGGGCAAAGTAGGAATTAATGAGAGGATGAATTAATTTAAAACCCGACATTTTTGTTAGGGAATTACCCTTTTTTTATACATATTTTTAAAACCTCATTGCAATGTAAGCGTAGGTGCTGGCTCGCCCCCCCCAGCTCCCCAGCGTATGTCAGGCATCGACGTCTCCCACTTCCCAGCCGAGGCGCCGTTCTGGCCTTTCTCAGAACCAGAGGCTGCACTCTGCCCTGATTTGGTGGCAGCTGGCTCTGAAAGTTGCAGTAGTCTCTGTGGATGCGCTCCCAGCTCTGCTGCCTGCACCTTGCGGCCTCCACGGCGCTCACGGGCCAGGCGTTAACACCAGTAACAGCAAACCCAGAGCGTCTGGGAGGGAGAAGCGGGGCCCTACGGTTCCTTGTCATAGAATCACAAGGCCAAATGTAGAAAGCAAGGATTTGTTTTTAAAAGCATACCTTGGGCTTTCGGGGTGAGGAGTCATTGGTAGCCTGTGACAGCAGCCCTGTAAAGGGAGTCCAACAGCTGAAGCTGGCTGAAGAAAAAGCATCAAAAATACAGAGTTTATCAGGACAAAAGGACTGAATCTCCAAACTCCCCATTAAGCACAAGTTTTACACTTTAATTTCTGTCTCTTTCTGTTCCACCACCCAAGGCTTAAGTGGAGAGACAGGGATGACTGGAAATGCTGCCAATTAGGCTGCTTTTCTGCTCACATGCAGAGGCAGGACAACAAGTAGCATTTCATGCTGCTTAGGCCTAGCTGCTCATCACACATGCAAGGAAATGGAGAACATCCTTTCTTCCCACTGCATTTCCAGTGCATTTTGACAAATGCATTGCATGGGGCTTCTGGGCCCCTCTACCAGTCCCCGGTAAGGACGGACAGTGTGACCGCCAAGGAACTGCCCGACGTGTCCTGAGCACCCCAAGGGGATCGCAAGCTTTTGGAGGTGCCTTTCCTTATCCAATTTATACCGTACACTTGGGCAATCGAGTTTTACTCACTGTGCTGTTATGCAGACCCAATTATTTAACTTTGTTTTTGCATCTCTGGGAGCTGGCTCTCGCTGGGCAGAAAGCCAGGGGAAGGATTTATGGGGAGCCCAAAGAAGAGGTGCATGAAAAATCTCCTGGAGGCTATTGCAGAGCACTGGAGCGGCTCTGAGCACTAGGGGAAAAAGAAACGTACAAGACAATTATATTTCTTTTCCTGATTTTTACCTGGCACAATAGCTGTTTTTGTTCACAGCATTGGGAGCGTCGATACTTGGTCGCTGTGAATCAGCGCAGCAACCCCAGTGCCAAAAGAGATGTGGCAAAACCCACCACACGCTGCCCCAGTGCTGCCGTCCCTGCTCTGCAGCTGACACTGCCGGTGCGGGGCAAAAATCTGCTCTTAGGAGGCTCCTGCGCTTCCTTCCTCTGGGCGCAGCTGCTTTAGATATAGGCGCAGCAGTCCCTGGGGATGAGCGGCGCGATGGCAAACGTGCGCCCCGGGGGAGCCCGAGTGAAAGAGCTGCGTGCAACATGAGCGTAAAGGCTTCGGGATCCTCGGGGATGGGAGGAGAGCTTACTGAAGACATTCCTGC